CGCCAGCTGTTTCCTACGTCCGTTCAGTCGTAAGCACACCCGAGCGCGGACCAGTGCGTGATCGGTATCTACACACGTGTTCCAGAAGGAGCGACAATCTCCTACCGACCCACGCCAACGATAGCTTATTGCTATGTGGTCTATTTGTGTCCAGCGTTGGTTTGATGATGGGGGTCGCCAGGTTAAACAGTGTCTCTCCTTGTGTTTAAAGTTAGTGCTTACAAGAAACAAATGATTATCTGAACAGAACTGTAGGAGACGGTCACCGTTGTCGGTTCGCTGGCACGGAACTCCATAGGTGCCACCGACATCCTTCTCAGATTGACACAATTTCCCTACTTGAGCGTTAAAGTCACCAGCTAGAACGACTATGTCTGAGCGTTTAGCCTTTCTCACCAAACTAGACAGCTTTTGGTAGAACTCATCCTTCGTTTCATCCGAACTGCAGTCAGTGGGGGCGTAGGCGGAGATTACGAAAAGGCATCGGCGAGTAGTGCAGTCCTTTCTCCTTCTTACTGATCCGTTCAGACGGACAGCACACATTCGGCTATCTACTGGGATCCAGTCAAGCAATGTCTTTTCTGCCCTAGTACTCAGAGCTATCCCTACGCCAGCTAATCCCCGTGAACTAGCTGTGGCATCTCCTGACACCCTCAAGGTGAATTTTGAAGATTCATCCTGTTGGCCAGGTGGGGTTAGGTGAATAACCACACTTGGGTCTTGTATGCGTGTTTCTGAAACACAACATACATCAATGGCTCGGGATGCCAGGGTCTTAGCTAGTGATGCTTGTTGTCCTATTTGGCAAAGTGTCCTAACATTAAATGCTCCTATATGAAATTGGTGGCGTGGCTTTAGGAGACTGTCGGTGGTGGTTTTTTGGCTTCCGTCGTTTTTAGTGGACACAGAGTGAAGAGGGAGTGAGGAGCCATCAAGTAGAGGAGTTGCATCAGTGGGAGGAAGGCAAGGTAATAGAGATGAAGATGAAGACAAAGATAAGTGAGGATTAGAGAGGTTTTGTGTGCATTTCGGATTGTGAGGGCGAATGTTACTTCCCGGCTGCCCACACCGTGGAAGTTGGTTGCGTGACCGCAGAGCCCAGGGGACAACTGCTTGAGGCCGGTCACACGCGGCCTGTTTTTGTTTGTTCTCCTTTGTTTGGTGTGCCTCAGTAGCATACTTATCACTCCTGCCCTGTGACACGGCAGCAGGAAGCGCGGTCGTTGTTAATCCGGACCACGGCCGATCCAGCATGAAATTTTGTGATTTTGTATTGGTCATGATGTTGGGTAGGGTAGCTGCTTTTTGTTTAACCGCTATCCAAACAACCTTTCTGGCATGGTAGAACCTCAAGAGACATAAGTCTCAGCCAGTATAGCTTGAATAGATCATTGCGGTGTTCAAGCCCGACCACCACTTCAAGTTAGCAGCTTTCGGTGGATCTCCAGCACCGCATCCGAACTGATAGATGCTAGAAGACTTATTCCGGCGAGCTTCGAATTCAATGAGTAGCGAAAGCTGCACAAGAGGAAACTCACGAAAAGCCTCCGCAAGGACCGTGAACAGTGGTGGGTTACAAAAGCCAAAGAGATTGAGAAAGCTTTGAGGATAGGCAACACCATGCAACTATTTAGACTCATCAGGGAAACGGGTGAAAAAAGACAAATCATTAGTGAAACAATCTCGGAAAAAAATGGCACTATAATTAGCTCCGAGGATAGACGACTGGATCGCTGGAAAGAGCATTGTGAGGAGCAGTTTAATTGGCCCATAGCCACGCTCAACCTGCCGAACATCCAACACCTCCCTGAATGGGATATAGACACAGGTCCTCCGTCACTAACTGAGGTTACTAAAGCTGTCACCAATCTGAAACTAGGCAAAGCAGCGGGACCTGATGGAATGACTCCAGAGGTATTTAAATACGGTGGAGACAGTTTACTGTCCGGATTGACTGAGGTACTAGGCAGCGTCTGGGAATCAGAAGAAGTCCCATCGGGTTGGTGTAAGTCACTGATTATCCCCATATACAAGAAGGGAGACAAGTCTTCCTGTGATAATCACAGAGGGATTAGCTTGACTAATATAGTATCTAAAGTCTTAGGCTCAGTAATATTGTGTAGACTGAGTGGTGCTCGGAAGGCACAAACACGAGAGAGCCAGGCAGGCTTTAGACCAGGAAGAGGGTGTATTGATCATATCTTCACCCTCCGACAGATTCTAGAACATAGGCATTCCTACCGGCGTCCAACAGTCATTATATTTCTTGACCTAAAGGCAGAATTCGACTCTGTCGATCGAGAAGTTCTCTGGAGATGCTTGGCTGTAAAGGGAATTCCAAGAAAATATATTGCACTGATTAAGGCACTCTACTCGTACTCATACAGCCAGGTGAGGGCTTACGGCGAGCTGTCATCTGAACTGGTGACGACCAGTGGTGTCCGTCAAGCATGCCCATTATACCCTTTTCTATTCAACTTCATCATAGATGTGTTAATGGACTTAACCCTAGGTGACTTCAGCGACTCAGGGATTGACTTACTACCGGGGAATAATCTCGTTGACTTGGAATATGCAGACGATATAGTCCTTCTAGGCGAAGACGCTGACGAAATGCAGAGTCTTCTAAACACCTTGAGCCGCAATCTACGAATGTTTGGCATGCGAGCGATTCGCTCCCGCCAAATGCAAAATGATGTTACAGGACTGGACTACATCGACGCCTAGTTTAAAAATAGGAAGTGAAGTGGTAGAGCACGTTGACCGCTTCACTTATTTGGGAAGTACCATCAGCCAGTGCCAACGGGTTGATCTCTGACGAAATCTCAGCACGAATACAAGGGGCTCGTTTCGCATTTGCCAGTTTACGCCGACTCTGGCGTAGACGAGATGTTCGACTATCGACCAAAGGGCGGGTGTACTGCTCAGAAGTCCGCTCCGTCCTCCTTTATGGTTGTGAGACCTGGCCACTGAGAGTGGAAAACATGAAAAGACTAGCTGTCTTTGATCATAGGTGCCTGCGCTCTATTTCCCGTGTAAAGTGGCATAATAAGGTGAGCAACATCGAGGTTAGGCGTAGAGTTCTAGGTAAACAGGGGAAATCAATCGACGAAGTCGTGAAGCTACAAAGACTGAGATGGTTAGGACATGTGTTACGTATGCCAAGCCATCGCCTCCCTCGACGAGCAATGTTAGCGGATATAGGGTCAGGCTGGAAAAAAGCTAGCGGCGGTCAAACAAAAACTTGGCACCAGTCAATGAAATCCACAACAGTTAGTCTAAGCCATGTAGGAAGGTGTAGATTTCCTGGTTGGGGTCCTCGGGACGGTAAAAATGAATGGTTGGAAACAATTGGTGACATGGCTCAAAATCGTTCTCAATGCACAGCGCAGATGTATCCACTCCTTGTGACTTATGATCTTCAATGAAACTGTTTTGTTCTTCGTTACTACTATTCCTTTGTCTCACACCTCTGTTTAGTGTCTGTGTTATGCCTTTCTTGTACTTTCTTCTCTTGTTTCGTGTGCTACACGGAGTGTGGCGACCTGAACTGCCGCACATTTGTGCAAAGTTCTATGTCGAAAACAGACAGACAGACTACACATGTTTACCCGCTGTCTTATTCACTTTACCATGTTAGACGTAGTAGGACTGTTTAGAAAACATACGGTATAACACTAGTTCATGAAGTAGTCATTTACAGTTACTAGCTCTTTGGAAAACTACCAGCTTTCTCATATGATTCTAAGCTCGTCGCAATAGCCAAGATTAATTTATGCTTGGGGTAGAATCACTTTTTCCTGTTTTACGGAGCTAAGAGTTTGGTATTCAATTACGGTAAATGCTCAACCAATTTTATACAAAACATTTAGTTAGGATTTGATCACTTCGCCCTGAGGAAGGAGATACTCAACGTCATACATATGACGTCTGATCAACTGATAGCTTCAGAAGATGACAGAAACCGTAGCAGCTTTTCTCAAATTCGAAAGGATAGACTACGATGACTGGCATAGTCGTGTGAAGAAATGTACCTCCCAATTTAGTGTTCTAATAATTTAAGCAGTATATAAACATGAGCTGATAGATAGAGGACTTAATGATACGAATGCCATTCAATAGTCATGCACTTAAAAGTTATTATGTCAAGACTGATGACCCCATTTGACTGCTCGTCACCAACAAGTCAGCACTCAAAAGATGTGGTTAATTGCATGTTGGAAAGAAGATAATTAAGTGATATTAGAAAGGGTCTAATAACATTTTACAGCATAAATAACAAGTGATGTCTGTTGCAAAAGAGGTGGATGTCTCAATAAAGTCCTGAAGCTGGAACATCATCACCTGCTAGTATGCAGTTACATCCCACTGACATGTCCAAGATACAACGAAACCCGCATCGTGGATCCCGATGCTAGCCGCCAGCAATCAAATTACAATGAGCAGAATGCCACTAAAGTCAAAACTAGTGATCTAGAAAGAAAACAGACATATTTAACGTCATAATCAGGATTTCTTCAGTTATGTTGCTTCTATATGGTCAGAATTCCTATTTCATCACTTATGACTGAATATTTGGCTGGCAGTCCACTTTTATGTTCATTCAGTTTGCCATTAGTTACAGTCCTTAAGCGACTACAAAAACAATCGATTGTAAAAGTTGGAGCTGGACAACATGAACAAGTTCTCTTGTCGTATTTCTAGTGCAACATCGCACAGTACCACTTTTCTCGTAAAAAGCAACGAATTTCCATGATGTCACTGCTGAATAAAGTTAATTACTGCCTACAAAATGAAGTACAATGACAAGACATAAAGATGAATTTTGTAGCAATATGGAAGATCTTTTATTAGAAAAAAGATTTGTACAACGCATCTGATGTTTAGATAGAACATACTTGGGGCTCGCATACCCAAGATTATAGTAGTCTTAAAGCGTGCATTAAATTGGCTTCATAATAACAAGTAATAAATATTTAAGAAAACCATAGGGCAATTTGTTACTTCGCTTCACATTGTTCCAGTGAAAATTCCATTTTTCGTTGCTTTTGCCGTTCATTACACTCACTTGATTGTTCATTTGCACAGAAGGCCCAAACTGCAGTCATACGGTTATTTACGATCTGACTACACGCTGCTAATAAACATATAACCATAGTGGTACATAAAGGAAACACCGCGAGAAGCAGCCCATGTCTCGTAGGTGGGTCTCCTGGTCGTGTTTGCCAAACTACTAGAGCAGTGGAGACTTCATGTGCTTTGTCTGAAGTACCATTCATATACCCCTCCAAATACAAACAAAGAGCAATCTCTGCAGCCAGCTTCCACAGGATAAAACTTAGTGTCAGAGCCCGATTGAATTTACTTCCCAAATCATAACGACCGAGTATTTGAGTAAGCCTAAAAGTTATACAGAGGTAATATAATGAGCATACGCAAGATGAACACAATAAAACCACATTTATTCACTATCAATTGCCAAATTGACGATTACATACCTTCCAGACATGTGTAGTATAGTTGTGACAAGTAAAGTAAAATCCAGAAACCACATCGGTATAAACGTAATAAACCAATTCCAGTATGTAATTTCACTGACTTTTAAAATTAGTAGAAACAAGAAAACGCAGCATATCGTCCACAAAAATAGTGCTTTATTGATAAGCAGCATTACCTGAAAAAAAGCAGGAAGTCGGCACTAAATAGTACAAATAAAGTAAATATTATTTGTGAAGACTGTATTGCGCTACATGAAGAGAACTTCACAAAGAAGAAGGAGAAATGAAAACACTGGAATCTGCTTTCCAGCCAAACTGTGAAACTTGAACAAAATTATCGTCTCATATCGAAATTAAAAAAATAGTAAACATTTTTGATTTCAGGGAAGTCCACACCAATTCTAACATATAAATTCATAATTTCATTATAGACAGATGAGATTACTGAAGAAACTGGTATTTTTCTCTGCCCCTCTTATCTACCCTGTATATCAGCGAATTACCTGGGCTCACCATGTCTTCTATGACCATCTATGCAGATGATCTAAGTAGCTGGAGACAGCTGAAGGATAACATCGCCATGCTTCAGTTACTAACACACATCAAGAATCCATTAAGCTGGTCGAAAATGAATGCTTCCCATCAGGGTAGCGAAGTTCGCAACTATAAACACTCGGTGCGCAAATGTCGGAGCGTGACCCCTTCACTTCAGACGCACACTAACCTATGTGTCAAAGTGAGTCATAACAGGAAGACTATGGCACAGTGACACTCAATCGCAGTAGGTAGGGCCTTTACTGGAATCACAAGTGGGATGTTCACAACATTATACACATTACTGGTGAGCTCAGAACACTACACTACTTACACGCGTCCAACCTTTGTCTAAAAGGGGACCCATTTGTACTGTGAAGTGTTTAAGGAAAGATCACACGTATGACTGATGATATAACCAATCTTTCATATTAGAAATCCATCCTTATCATCAAATCAAAGGTAGAGAGGAAATCTAATCACGATGTTCACAATTTTAAGATATGACTGTGGAATTGATCTATCTCCCCTCATACGTCACACCAAGTCAGCACACCTTAGGGGACAAAGTAAGAGTATAAAAATCAAAACCATATCGCTATAGTGTGCTGGTTCTTCCACTTATCCATTAACCCTTCCAACAGACTCTCAGAAGAAGTGACTTTTACTCACACAGTGAGCTCATTCAAGAGAGGATTAAGCAAGCACAGATACTGGATAAAAAAGATTAAAATGTGCCACAAGCTTTTTACCTAAACCTGATAAAGCGTTATGACTACGTTGCTTCGGACGGAAAGCATCAGGCGTACTTCCGACTGCAATCCCTATGTATTTAGAAATCGATTTTGTCAATATGGAGTTGACGTACCAATTTTCACTACGTACATCCAAATACAGCACATGGGTAGTTTGGGATTGATTAACATCAGACTGCACCTAAATCTTTAAGTCGATTTCCAGGATTTTCTACAGCATTTAATCTTTCGTCTCATACCGTAAAACATTATAACAACATATAAGTCTCACTGCATAAGCTATAAGAAAGATAATTCATCTAAATAAAATCGGCGAACTATTGTATCCTATCTGCGTGAAGAATATATTTTTTATTCCTTTACGTTCCCACTGGAACATAGGGCTTCAAGCTACAGGCCTGGAGTTTCAGAAGCAGTGGTGTTTACTTTTACGAGATGGGGTTGCTAGCCCCATGCCCAACCTTCCTTCTTTACCAGTTTTATTACCGGCTCAGAGAGGTAAAGGAGTGGGTCGGCCACCGATCGAACCTCGGACCACCTGGGTGGTTAGCGAGCATTCTACCGCTCTGCCACCGACGCATCTTTGAAGAATATACAAGGTTTCATACATAGCTCCGTTTGGAATTTAAGTTGGATTCCAAAGATGGTTGCTAAGTCATTCAAAAGAGATAGGATTACGAGTGAATTAGTGATTAGACACATTTATTCTAATGTAATGTCCACCTAGTCATCTCGGCCCGCGACTTGTTTATCGCTTTTTAGAGAAAAAAGTTGCCCTACCTTCTGTGGATTTAGAACTCAAATTTTTCTTCGACTATAGCTTGATTCCACACCACAGTTTCTGGTACAATTTTGGAATTTTCAGCATGTGATATCGGTAGCCCAATTTTGCAGGCCAACCGTTGATACCGCGTGTGCGTCGGCAGGGGGTAGAACCCAGGACCATATGCATGGTCAGCGAGAGTCCTAACCGCTGTGCCACTGACGCACAAATTTCAGATGGTAGGTGCAATATTTGAATCTTGACCACCTAATTCAGTCTGGATAGTGTCTTGATAGTATCATTAGACCCACAAAATGAGAGAGGGTTATGGGATTAATAATACGGAAGATTTCGTTTGTCCTACTTTGATTCAACTCATAAGATTTCAGACTTATTGATGAAGATAGAAGGCTTGGAGCATATGTTAATCCTTTTCTAGTAAATTTCTGTGGTTGTCCAAACCCTTCTTGAACGAATCAGTTGAGGTTGCAGACACCACTTCTTCTGAGATTCGGTTCCATGAGTTTATGACTCGGTGTGAGAACCAGTACTCAACAGCAATATGACTTCTTCTTGGCTTTTGAACTCTCCTGCTATGTCCTCTAAAGTGTTCCGACCTGGTGGGAAGGAAAAGAGAGAATAAGTCAGATCCGTAGTCATTATAAAAAAATTTTAAACATTGTGATTAGATCTCCTCTCTGCCTACAGTATAACAGGCATAGATTTAAGCTGTCAAATCCTTCCTCGTATGATAAGTTAGTCATGCCGTGAACCATAAGTGTTGCCTTCCTTTGAACCCTTTCTAGAATATGTGAGTCCCCTTTTAGACAAGGACTGGCGGCCTGGATGCAGTTTTCCAGTCTTGACCTCACCAGAGATGTATATAGGGAGGTGAACATATATCTGGTGATTCTAGTAAAGGCTCTGCGAATTGTCCATAACGACCTGAAACTACGTGCACCCAACGTGCGACAGTGTGCTGTAGTTTTTAAGTCGTGACTAACTATGACACCTAAGTCCAAGTGAGTCTAAACTGATGGAAGTGTTACTCCCTCTAGTTCGTAAGAGCTTGTGCTTGCTTGTCTAATACGCATGGTTGCACATTTTGCCACATTTATATATGGACTACTCTGACAATTTGTTGAGGTCCCCTTGCAACGTGGATGTATCACTGTTGCTCTTCAGCTCTCTCCAAATTTTTAATTCATGTGCGTATAGGACCATAGGGGAGTCGGTGAGCAGAGATAACTCATTGATATACAAAATAGTAGAGGTTCGAGTACCGTGCCTTGTGGTACTCAGCTACGTACTGCTGTCCAAGAGGGGAGTTTCGAGTTGATTCCAACCCTCTACCTCTTGTCTATGAGGAATTCCCTGCCTCTGATACCATGACTTTCCAACTTCATGTTTTAAACATAACGAAAGATACTTGCTACCACTAGTTTCGATCAGGAAGATTGGGAACTGTTAGCGTGACTAAGCATCATCTCGAAATTACTCTAGACACTCAGCAAAATAAAGATCTTTATTTTAGTCGTCTATTGCAATAGTCTCGATTGAGAACATTAGACATATTTCTCAGTACGAATAGCATCAACATATAAAATTTGGATTTTTTCAAAATGTAATGTGTCTCGGGAAAATGTAGTGCAGTCTCCACCTACCGAATCAAACAAGATGACGACCTGACGAAAATCAGCACACCGATTTTGGATTTTGGTTTTTGTCTTGTTGTCAAGGTCGTGGATATACCTAAACATGACCTTTCAATTCAATGTCCAACAAATATCAAAGCAATGAGTCTACGAATAATTAACGAGCTATTTTCAATTAAATCGATTTCTATGGTGCTTCTTCTACGTGGCGAAGGAAGATTTCTCGTCTTTAATAAGTCCCTTTGAGGTTAGTCCTGCCACTCACTCTCCACAGCTATAATGGATCTGGAGACATTGGCAGTTTAATCATTTGTGAGTATGAGCTCTTAGTCGATGTTGCAATTATAACGCTATATTGACTGAAATGAGTCCTTAATCCAACTTGCTGCTGGCTCTAATGATGGTGATAGGTATAACTGCAATCCCTTTGAAAATGGAGTGGCTTTTATACTGTCATCTGTGATTTTGGCTCTTGTTAAGCTTTTCTCCACCAAGGCTGACATAAGAACTTTAATTTGGGTTCTTCTTACTGAAATTTGGCTGGTCATTAGTTTTCAAGGCTGTTTCCGTGTAGGATTTCCTTCAGCATCCTGGACATCCTCCTCTGTTCTGTTTATTAAAACGTTTGAATTGTATTGTGGTTATCCTTCACGAAATAGCATGCCACACAGGAGATGGTTGCAACGCTCATCGTAGAATCTGGAGTGTGTCACCTTGGTAGAAGATTGAATAGCTCGGATGATACATGAGTCATCACGGAGTCTGACGATAGTTTCAACGAAAATTCACTGCCTATTTCCAGTTGAGAGAAACCTGATACCAACGATATACTAGATATGACCTTGAAGAAGCTGCCACTAGTGCTGTTATGGAAAGCATCAAATTCCAGGGGAACAAAAAGTAGTCACCGACGAAGATGCTGAGCTGGACTCAGCAATTTCAGGCACAGACATATAGGAGAATTGACTTCAAGCTTTATTTTTCCCAGATATTTGTATTACATTCATCTGATGTCTGGGTTTTTTGTTAATGCGAAGACAATATTTCTATATCTCTTTATGTGCTACACAAACAAACTTTATAGCAGAATGTTCCGACTGACTTTGATGTTAGAAAGAACAACCAAACTGTAAATCCACTATACATCAAATTTTGTGTAATTTATATGATAACTTATCCATGCCTGTACAATTGGTATGTTCCTGCATAAACAGGAAGAAATATATATATATATAGACATCCTAGCAAGGCATAACGTGAAGGTAGGTGTCTGGAAGTGTCGTCTGACAATCTCCACCAGTATCAACCGAAAGGTCCCAGAAAACATCAGCGGAATTTCTATCCCTAACAGTGACCAACTCTCAAACTTCCATAGTTAATTCTAAAATCACTTATAGCATGGACTCCCGGCTTTCGCTTAACTGAGAATATGAGCCTCAGAAAACTAAGTGTACTGAAAGCGGAATTCGACCACATGCTTCAGCTATTGGCTGTGTGGCCCTGGAAAAGTGAGTGGGATTCGCTGCTGCACATAGCGCCTAGGAAAAATCGGACCGACTGACACTTGCGGTGATTGCAGAGCTCTGAATGAGCGAACTGTCATTAGCAGGTCATAAGCCTCTAACTTAGCAGTTAACGCGATAACGAACAAACAATCCCATTACCAAGTTCATCACCTTGATTTCACATTACAATTTGCAAATGGTGGAGATGATGAAGACCTGTGTGGCTGATTCACAGTTCAGAACACATGTGAACACGGTGCAAAAAGTCGCTATATGTTTCAAAGCCAAATATGACAATCACAAAAGGATGAAGAGTTTAAGCATTTCCACCCTACGAAAACATTGGTTTCCGGCTGAAACAGTCACCAACTCTCGTATATGGAAACCTAATATATGCTGAGAGCAGCCAAATATTCATGCAAGCCTTTAGTCCCAAAACTCATGATGGAAGCTATAGCTTGTAACTTTTAGCCATTCTCACACCCTTTAAAAAGAGCTACATCTAAAATAGTCTCATCAAGGTACACTTGACCAAACCTACAATGCCAAATTCATTAAGTGAGCAAGAGAATAAAAATGATTTATCAGGGCAAAGGGGAATATTCACACGATGCTCCCAGACATGAAACTACTCCCAGCTAGAAAATCGCAACCATCGTCTTCATGCGGAATGAGCGAATTCATTGTCATGCTCCAGTTGACACGCATGTTGACGTGCATATGTGTGTTTACCATATTACTCGTGGGTGAGGCAGGTATTGATGTAAATTGCACCAAGCATACCAGACGATGAAAATCACATGACTGGCCGCTTCTGAGAGAGGGAACACCAGGAGCTTCTTGTGGAGCTTCAGTGCTGTTGCTGAATTGATGAGCGTCAAGGATTCGACGGTTAGGGCGTGTGTGAAGAGGACGCTACTGAGAGGTTGGGCATGGGCGGTCGTCGACAGTGTGGAGCGGTGAGGTGATAAAGGGACCTGGAAAGTATGTGTTGAGCCGTCGCTTGTGGAGTTCGACACTCCGACAAACATAAAACTGGCAGTGCGGCAGTTCCAAGAGACGAAGATGGGACCTGAGGAAGACTCTTTGGTGTTGGGGATAAAGCCAATAAATATGCTTCCTAGAGTACTCCCTAAGCTGGGTGAAGAGTCGAAGTGTCAGTTACTGAATTCACAGACCACCGAGTGTTTGAGACCATATATCGTAGCAACTACTATAAAGTTGGAAGATAAAGGCCAGCCGACAGATCGTTTATCGAGGAAATCAAGAGATATTTATGTATCTTTATATGCATTATTAATCGTTATTATTGGCAGAGAAACGGCGAAATCTGATTGGTTGTTTTTGCGCCGAAAGTTATTCTGAAACCTCTTTGTAGCCGTTTCTTCGAAGGTCAGATTATATATGTGCGAATCGTATCAGCTTACGCAAAGTCTGTTATGACTGGTTGTTGAGTCAGTCTTTGTTCTTGTTTTTCCCCATGACCAAGATACAGGACGTAAACATTGACGTATATTGCTGCCTACCAACTTTAGTTAGCAGACAGCTCTCACCACACTACAACTGGTTACCGCTGCATAACCTATTAAGCTTGCCAAGCCTGGAAAGTTAATCTGACAGCCACTGAGCACAACAGTTGTCACAGCAGAGTCACCTTAAACGAACCGGTGGGAACAAGAAATAGCAGATTTATAGCAGGAAGTAGCGGTGCCAAGAATGAGCATAAAAAAATACGAGTGATTTGAACGTGACAGAACGGGGCACTGGGGAAAATATTGTCAGGAATGAAGAAGAAAGAAAAACCTTAAACAATATAATGATTCTTCTTTCTCTTCGATAAGATTAGGATAGGGGTGATAGAGAGGGGGTAATGTTTCTAGGTAAGGTACAAATGATCAATCGGTTGTACGTTTAATAGATACGGGGAAAGCAGTTTCACTGGTAGACGTGAATATATGTCAGAATGTGAAACATGTTCATTGGCAGTCCAGACTGTAAGGAGTTATGTGTTAAAAGTTAGATATTTATCCATCTCCAACGTTCACACTGACGGTCGCTAAGGTAACGTTCTATTCATTGTTATGCCTCAGTTACGAAGAAAGATGGTAGGGGCTGATGTCTACGTGAAGTATTTGCTGTAATCACCAATCAATCACAAAGTACGGATCCACTAGAATGCACGGGAACAGTGAGACAGCATGGATGGAGACGCTGGATATGTGGAATATAACCAAGTTAGTTGGAAAATATGATCATCTATCGACGGGCAATGGAGGCCCGTATGGTTATTTGGAGAAAGTGAGACATGAAATTCACGTGTGGACTAGAAAAGTGACAACATTCACGATGCGAAGAATCCCATGACATTTGGAAGAAGTAGAGTGACAAGCGAGCGAGACGTCAAGAAGTGATATTATTGCAGAAGGGGGATAGCCCATATAGCTCTGCAGTCCATTTGGTGAAGAAAGCAAACGAGAAGTGTAGATTTCGCGCTGATTTCTGAGAGCTCAACAGCCTAACGGAACTTAGACCGTCTCTTCTACCCATTGCAGCGGAAACTCTCGATCACCTATCTGTTTACGGTTCTAGACCCCCGGTCAGGTTACGGGTAAACAACGATAAAACATGGTGATGGAGACATGACAGCGTTCATTGAAGGGCAGAAAAAATGTCGGTTTAAACGCATACTTTTTGAAGTATCGTTTGCACGTTTGATGACTGGTGATTTATTTTATAATTTTTTGATTATAGCTTGATTCCACACCGTATTTTTGGTATAGGCATAGAATTTTCAGCATGTGGTATCGGTAGCCCAAATTTTACAGGCCAGCCATAGATATCAGGTGTGCGTCGGCCTGGGCTCGAACTCCGGACAATGTGCACGTTGGCGAGAGTCCTAACCTCTGTTCCACCGACGCTTTGTGTGCTACGAGGAGTGTGGCAACTCGAACTGCCGCACATATGTGCAAAGTTTTATGTTGAAAACAGACAGAATCTATTTGGGTCCATCGTTGATTTCATTATGTTGGTCGCTAAGTAAGGCAATGTTTCTCCCTGTGACTGAAGTTAATAATAACGAGGAACAGATGATCAATTGAACAGAACTGCAGAAGAAGTAATTTAGGTAGGTGGAAAGGGAGGTTGATCACAGAATCCTTATTTATCGAGTCTACACCCAACACATGTAACAGAAATGACTCAATGCAAATACCAGAGATATGGAAGATATTATTACCGCAGGTCAAATCAGAAGAGGATAATAAATAATCTTAAAATTCTATTTCACTTCAAACACATCACAACATTCTAACATAAAAACGTATTATGACTATTAAAACACTCGTCGTATTTCCCATCTGATTGTAGTTGACCAATAACACTCGTATTATTGCCATCAGTCAAATCAGAAGATATTAAATAATCTTAAAATTCTATTTGAATTCAAACACATTCAAACACAACATTCTAACAAGTAGCTTATTATGACTGTAAAACACACTCGTCCTTTTTTCCCATCTAACTGCAATTGATGAACAACACTCATACTATTGTGGTGAGAGCAGGCTGCTAGCCAATTGGTAGACATTAATCGACGCTGAT